TGAAATCATTTCCACTCAGATCAGGAATGAGGGAAGGTTGCCCATTGTCTCCATTGCTCTTTAACATTGTAATGGAAGTTTTAGCCATCACAATTAGGGAATGAAAAGCGATCAAGGGTATCCATTTAGGGTCAAAAGAGATTAAACTTTCACTCTTCACAGATGATATGATTGTATATCTGGAAGATACCAGGGATTCTACTACTAAACTCTTAGAAGTGATCAAGGAATACAGCAGTGTCTCAGGTTACAAAATCAACACTCATAAATCTGTAGCTTTTATATATACCAACAGCAGCCAAGTTGAAAAAAACAGTTAAGGACTCTATTCCGTTCACAGTAGTGCCAAAGAAGATGAAGTATTTGGGAGTTTACCTAACAAAGGATGCAAAAGATCTCTATAAAGAGAACTAAGAAACTCTAAGAAAAGAAATAATTGATAATGTTAACAAATGGAAAAACATACCATGCTCATGGCTGGGAAGAATCAACATTGTCAAAATGTCCATACTATCCAAAGCAATTTATAATTTTAATGCAATCCCCATTAAAGCTCCACTGTCATATTTTAAAGATCTAGAAAAAAATAATACTTCATTTTATAAGGAATCAGAAAAAACCTCAAATAGCAAAGACATTACTCAGAAATAAAAACAAAGCAAGAGGAATTAAGTTACCAGACCTCAGACTATACTACAAATCCATAGTGATCAAAATAGCATTGTACTGGCACAAAAACAGAGAGGTAGATGTATGGAACAGAATAGAGAACCAACAGATGAATCCAGCTATCTACTGTTACCTGATCTTTGATAAGCCAATTAAAAACATTGAGTGGAGAAAAGATTCCCTATTTAACAAATGGTGCTGGGCTAACTGGTTGGCGACCTGTAGAAGACTGAAACTAGACCCACACCTTCACCATTAACTAAGATAGACTCTCACTGGATTAAAGATTTAAACTTAAGACATGAAACTATAAAAACACTAGAAGAAAATGTAGGGAAAACACTTGAAGAAATCGGCTTGGGCGAATATTTTAGAGGAGGACCCCTCGGGCAATTGAAGCAACATCAAAAATACACTTTTGGGACCTGATCAAACTAAAAAGCTTCTGCACAGCCAAGAACAGAGTAAATAAAGTAGGTAGACAGCCCTCAGAATGGGAGAAGTTATTTGCTGGTTATGTCTCCGACAAAGGTTTAATAACCAGAATCCATAGACAACTCAAATGTATTAGCAAGAAAAAAACAAGTGATCCCATCTCAGGGTGGGCAAGGGACTTGAATAGAAATTTCTCTAAAGAAGTTAGGCACATAGCCTAAAGATATATGAAAAAATGCTCACCATCCTTAATCATCAGAGAAATGCAAATTAAAACTACTTTGAGATATCACCTAACTCCAGTAAGATTAGCTCAAATCACAAAATCCCAAAACCAGAGATGTTGGCATGGATGTGGAGAAAAGGGAACACTGCTACACTGCTGGTGGGAATGCACATTAATTCATTCCTTTTGGAAAGACATCTGGAGAATACTTAGAGAGCTAAAAATAGACCTGCCATTTGATCCTGCAATTCTTTTATTAGGTATATATCCAGAAGACCAAAAATCACATTACAACAAAGATATTTATATCAGAATGTTTACTTCAGCCCAATTCATAATTGGTAGGTAATGGATGAAGCCCAAGTGCCCACTGACCCAGGAATGGTTCAATACATTGTGGTATACATACACCATGGAATATTGTGCAGCCCTAAAGAAAGATGGAGACTTTGCCTCCTTCATGTTTACATGGATGGAACTGGAAAATGTTCTTCTTAGCAAAGTATCTTTTTTTAATTTTAGCATATCTGTGTACATTAATGCAATCAGAAAAAAACTCGATTAGCAAAGTATCTTAAGAATGGAAGAAAAAGTATCCAATGTACACAGCCCTACTTTGAAACTAATTTACAGCTTTCATAGGAATGTTATAATCTAATTATAGCCCTAGAAACATGAGAACGGGGGTGGGCAAGGGAAGGGGAGGGGAGGGGGTGGATGGGGGGGAGGGTGATTGGTTTGGTCACATCTATGGTTTATCCTACAAGGGTACAAGTGAATCTTTCTAAAAGCAGTATATGAATGTCTTAACTCAATAACTAAGAAAATGACATGAAGGCTACATTAACCAATTTGATGAGAGTATTTCAAAATGTATATGAAAACACCACACTGTACCCTGTGATTACATTAATGTACACAGCTATGATTTAATAAAAAAAAAAAAGAAAGAAAGAAAGAAACACACACACACACACAAATGGGCAAATGACTTGAATAGACCTTTCCCAAAAGAAGACAGACAAATGGCTCACAGATATATTTTTTAAATTCCTAACAATTTTAAACATCAGAAAATGCAAAATATCACTTCACATCACTTGGATTGGTTATTATCAAAAAGATAAAATATAAAACATCTTGATTAACATGTGAAGAAAAGGGAACCTTCATATGCAATTAATGATAATGTAAATTAGTACATCCACCTGGGAAAACAGCATGGAGTTTCCTTTAAAAAACTAAAATTAGATGAACTAGCAATCTCACTACGGGGTATATACTCAAAAACATTGAAATCAGTATGCCAAAGAGATGTCTGCTCTCTCATGTTTATTGCAGCATTATTCACAATAGCCAAGACATGGAAACAACCTAAGTGAGTGACCACATAAGAAAAAAAAGGAAATTCTGTCATTTGCAACAACATGGATCAATCTAGAGGACATTATGTTTAATAAATAAGCCAGGCACAGAGAAACAAATATTGTATGATCTCGCTCATCTGTGGCATCTAAAAACATCGCACTCATAGAGGTAGAGATTAGAACAGCAATGAGCAGAGGCTAGAGGGTAGAGGTGGAAGGGAAAAGGTACAAAGTTACAGTTACATAGGAGTAATAAGCTCTGGTGTTCTACTGGACAGCAAGGTGACTGTAATTAATAGTAATATGTTGTGTATTTCAAAATAGATAAATTAGAGGATTTAACTGCTCTCACTACAAAGAAATTTCAAAACATAATATTTTACCCCATAAACATGTATAATTATTATTTATTAATTAAAAATAAAATAAAACTTTTCTTTAAAAGTATGGTTTCATTACTTGCCATTTGCAAGTCATGGAAAGAGCATAAAGTATACTTACATTGCTCAAACATTCGCTGATGTCCTTAATATCTAACTGCAGGATATTTCCAATAATAGGGAGAGGAGTCGGGCCGGGCGGGAGCTTCCCTCTCCCAGAGCTCTGTCTCCAGAGGGAAAGGAGAAGCAAACAGGAGAGACAGAGCACCAAGGCCACAGCTGGGTCCATTGCAGCCTTCTCTTCCTGCTAAGACAACTGGGAGCTACTCCAAGGCTTTCACAACACACCCTGCTAATTCACTTATGACCGTTGAACACATAAATATCCAAATAACTAGATAAACTTTACTCTCTCTTCTGAATAGACTTTGGCACACTGAAAAAAATAAAAATGACATGTTCTTTCTTCAGGCTCTGTTGCCAGTGCCCCACCTTAAACATTCTGGTTAATCTCTGGGGTAGAAACCAGGTATTGATTTGGCTTTTTTAAATACCTCTGATAACCAATGAAGTAAATTATTTGAATAACACAAATTATTCAAGATTTTAGATTCTTAGATTAATGACCAGTTGGGAATTTATGACTTTGATGATGCTCCAAGTATTATCTCATATATAAAAATAATATTTATACTGTAATGCTTTCTCAAACATTGAGATAATTTCCTGTATTGTGAAAGCCTTTTGAAATATTTCAGTGTGCTGTGCTAATATGCCTACACATGAAATAGCTAACTAACATAACTCACATGCCTAAATATGAAATAGCTAATTAACATAACTCAAATGCCTAAACATGAAATAGCTAACTAACGTAACTCACATCTTGAATAACCGAATATGTATAAGCAAATATACACTTTTTCTCCTTAAACCCTCTAATAAGCATTGGAAGACAGAGATTATTATGTTTTATTTTTTCAAACGGGAAAAGGAGATTCTGGTAGAACAGGAGACCTGATCAGTGTTGGGAGCCTAACATAGCCACACATAAACCTTTTCCCCTCCTCCTCCTCCTTCTCTCTCCGCCTAAGACAAAGACTCAAAGGATCTAGTTAGCCTCACCTCCTGAGAAGTTTGCACCAAAGGACCAACTTTACCGGCAAGCTGTAGAATCCACTCACCCTCTACGGCCCCAAATAAACGGGATTGCTAACTACTCTTGGAGGGGGCAGACTCCACTGCCTGGGGGGTCGCCATCCCCTTCCAGTAAACCTGGCCTGAATATCTGTCTCTGTTCTGGTCTTGTCTCTGGGCAGCACTGCTTACACCTTTCATATGGTGCCAGAAATCCCAGACTGGCTGCTAACTGGCAACTGGCTGCCAGCCTCCCTAGTCATCCTAGTTTTCTCAGAACCTAGTCAGTTTGTGCCCAGACCCAACTCCACTGACCTGCCTATAAGAGAATCCTAGAGGATTTTGCCCAAACTCCCATTTGAAGGTGAGCAAGGTCCCTAAATAGCTTCAAACAGAACCCAGCGTTGGCTAACTCTTTGGCTCACTCTGTGCTTCTATGTCCTTATATCCCCCTTGCTGCTTCTTTGTTCATGCCTAATTAGAGGGTTTAGTCCCAGCACTCTTCTGGTGCTCTCTTCTGAAGTCCCAGGGACTTCAAATTTTTTCAATTTTCACCCCAAGCCCTGCACTGAACCCTCATTTAGGCCTTTAAAGTCACGAGGCCCTCAAGATTTCTGAGATAAAATAGAGATGCCTGATCTTTCTCAGTCTTATTTTTCGCTTTTCCATGCCCTGGTTCATGAGACACAAAAGGCTCCTTCTTTTCCACCCAGGTAGGGGAAGGACATCTGAGACACTAGCCCTTCCACCTCCCTCAACAAAGACACTCCAGAGGTGTCTCCTTCAACCTCAATACAAATTAGTAAATGGGACCTTTAATTTCAATCTCTTAAAGAACTTAAATAAATATCTTAAAAAACTGAAATAATTTCCTAAAAAAAAAAAAAAAAAAAATACCAAGGCCAGGTACAGTGGCTCACTCCTATAATCCTAGGACCTCTGGAGGATAGATCTGATTGCATTAAAATTAAAAGTGTCAGGCTCAGCGTCTGTAGCTCAACGACTAGTGCTCTGGCCACATACACCAGGGGCTGGCAGGTTTGAACCTGGCCCGGGCCTGCCAAACAACGACAACTACAACAAAAAAATAGCCAGGCGGTGGGTGGTGCCTGTGGCTCAGAGGAGTAGGGCACCAGCCCCATATGCCGGAGGTGACAGGTTCAATCCCAGCCCCAGCCAAAAACTG